GCACTTTTTTATGTGTCATTATAAAATTTGATTAATGTATTTATATTCATATACAACCTGCACATTTTACTATTTTAGATTATGGCTAAATTTTTTATCCATAGTAAAAGCATTTGTGAATTTCGAAAATATTATTTTATAAATTGGATTAATTATTATCATTTTTTGACATTATCGATCTTTAAATATAACAAACTGTATTTCTCCATGCTTGGAAATAATTATGTATATTTAAGGACAGAGGAAGTATGTATACTTCAAATTGCAATTGTATCTTCTTGTAAATTAATGTTTCCAATATATACTTGAGAATGTTAGATTAATATATTTTTAGTTATCTAAGTTTTTAATTATTAAATATATTTTTAATGGAAGTACAAGGAAATACAAGGAAAAGAGAAAAAAGAAGAAGGCGTAAAAAAATAGAAAAAAATGAAACAAAAGTAAACAGAAACCAACAAGCTAAGAAGCCCCCAACCCAAAGTATAGTAATGAATACCCTCCCTAGAAATTCAGTCATTTAGCTTATTAAAGACTAATATCAAAATATATCAAGTAAGTAACCACATTTCAAAATAACATTTCTTTGGTGGTTTGTTATAATCTTTTTATGTCTTAAATGATTAATATCTAGTTTTGTTTCGAAAGGAATAACCGTTTATATCAATATCATTAGGATTCAGATCGTCACAACAAACACAAAGAGACCAACACTGATAACAACTATCCTTAACCAACTAGCACTATCAACCATACAACTAGTCATATAAATGATCATCCCTAAAGAGCATGCGCAGTACAAATCGCTAACCACCAAACGGATGTGACACATGCAAAAATCACTTGTCATATGAATCCTTTTAACGACATACAATAATATATAGCTGAATTGTCAATTCTTATTGTAAACCTAAAAGTAAAGACATGAAAAAATTGAGCAACATAAACAAATTTCACGTGAAAGTAAGACCATAAAAATAAAATAGTTGACAAATACTCCAAGTTCATTCCTGCCATGATTCTTGAAGTATCATCTTCCAAACTCTATCACCTCGATAGCTCCATACTCCAGAGTGGTGGTTCAGGAGGGGATGAAGCGCCGATACTATTGGTTTATTATTGGTTATGTGTGATGGTTGTATTATTTAAAGTGATTATCTCATAGGATTTGAAACAAAAATATCTACCAATAGGCCATCGAGTAATCATTTTTAATTTTTATTATCATACGTATTACATTGGACTAGAGTAATCATTTTTAATACTTATTTGATTCAATTTGTAATTTTTAATTATATAAATAAAATAATTCTTGCACAAAATAAATACTCCCTACTCCCTCCGTTCTTTTTTATTAGTCCTTCTTTCATTTTTGGGACGTTTTTTTTATTTGTCTCATTTTGAGAAAATACCCCCATTTTTATTACTTTTACCCCACTTACTTTTTACAAACTACTTTCTCTTTCCTACTTTAACATCACTTTACTCTTCTTAATACACTCTCTTTCTTACTTTATCATCATTATACTTTTTTTTAATATATCGAGCCCGTTTGGTGGCACGAAAATCGGCTGTTTTGGCTGTTTCTGCTGAAATTTATGAAGTTCTGGCTGAAGTGGCTGTTTTGGCTGATTCTGCTGATTCTAGAAAAAAATATTTTAAAAATATATTTTATTAATAAAATAAAGAAAAAGTTACATGTAAAAATAGCTAAAATGGTCATCTACAGTAACTTCAGCCAATACAGCCAGAAAAGTAACTCCAACCTTACTTTTTCTGCTTATTACATAATTCAGCACGCGAAAGTAAAAATTACGCGTTTGGTGAAAAAGCTGGCTGATAAGCCTGATAAGCCGAAAAAAGGGGTCTCCAAACGGGCTCATCATCTTTCCTACTTTATCATTTACCCTACACACTCTATTCTTACCCTACTATTTTATTATTAAATCCCGTGCCAAACCCTAAGAGGACTAATATAAAAGAACGGAGGTAATATTTCATACTCGGATGAAAACTGTAGTGATGAATTTAGGCTTTTTTTTTCTCTCAACTTTCTGGAGTGGGAGTGCTGCTAGCAAGAAAGGCACGGTAAAGCTAGATTTTGGGCAATATAGAACAATTCACAGTATTCGAAATGAAGCGTTAGAACGCCCGAATGTCTCCTCTCATTGAGTAGCTTATACTGCTGATTCAGTTAAGGCTCTATTTCATCTTCGGTGCCATTGCTGGAGTGATGGGGTACTTTTTTATTGGGAACTTTCAGTCCTCTATATTCGAAATATGAAGGAGATTCTATCTCATAGCTCCCTGCTACTGCTACTACTACTACTCATTGAAAAGATGATCTGAGCACTTCTATATTATGCCCACTCAGCGGTTAGAGTACTGCTTTCATACGGCGGGAGTCATGAATTACACGAAAGTAGCCCCTTTTTCATCCCTAATAAAAGTCTCAGTCGCAAGCATAGTTAGTTAAATACGGTACGGGAATTAAACGGGGTTTAATACGTACGTGTTTTATTCGGTAACAAGGGTAAAAAAGACGGTCAAAAATTCGTTGAAAAATACGTTGACTTTTAAAAAACGTGTGAATACGTATACGTGAATAATACGATATATGTTACAAAAATTCGGACAAAAAATACGCGGTATTATTTTGAACATTCAAAGTATATACTTCAGAGAATTAGATATATAGTAAAAACAAATAAAAGTATATACATATTCAAGTAGCATATCTCATTACCACACAAAAGAATAATTTGTAATTTCATAAGTCGATGAAGAAAATAAAAATAGTAATCAAGTCCAAGACATAATTTTGTAAAATAAAGTCAAAAAATGAGGAGTAAAAACAATAGAATGAGACTAACTTAAAATCATTGTCTTTAAATGATCATCAAATAACACTCAAGTCAAACTCATGATTTTCATCAAGATGGTGAATGACATATGAGAAAAGTACGCTGTGCGACTGATACACTTATTATTGTTTGTGTGTAAAAGCTTATACTAAAATATGTTAGGTTTAGAAAACCTTAATTTTGATATGATATCATCATAAATCCAATAGTAGTTCAAGTTTTGATCTTGTAGGAAGCTAGCTTTAGTCACCATGCAAATAACTTTAGTGATTAATAATTGCATTGTAACAATACAAGAACATGGGGTTACGAGGAGGAGGTTTCTTTTTTGCTTTTAAGCTATTGTTGATCTCATAGGCATTTTATGCACTAATTCAATTGGTCAATTCATGTTTCTTGTTTTTGTAAAATACGGAAAAAATACGTTTTATACGGGAAGTGGGAGTTTTTTTCCTTTTTAAACGGACCGACATTATATTTCGTTTTAAACGCGTTTTTTTGTTCAAAAAAACGGTACGTGTTTAAAACGCGTTTTAAACGGAAAAAAGCTAACTAGGGTCGCAAGCAACCTAAATACGGATGTGTATGCATTTGGCTACTACGTATAAAAAATTAACTAAGGGTAGTTATGTCAAAGAGGGGTGCGTAACTGCGTATAGCAATTCAGGAGGTGGGCAAACCCAAAAATCAAAAGTTAACCAAAACAGTCTAGGGGAAAATACGGCCCTATGACTAAAAGACACACAAGTTCCCAATATATGACATCAAAACACGTGCTTGTATGACTTCAAAACATGTGGATACGATTATATGGGTAGTTAATTAGGATGAAAATTACAGTTTTGCCCCGGATTGTATACGGAAACGGCTTTAAGGAAAATATATTTAATTTGGTTACAAAACGGAAACTAACGGAATTATCGGGATCGGCGGTGTGGCAATTGCTTAATATGGTTGTATTTGAAATTAATTTGTGATTAGATAATTGATAATTTGATAACCGACAATTCGACAGTAACGGAAGGATAGTAATTGTACACAATAATAAAAGAGCAGTAATTGAACGAAGAGTAGTAATAGAAGAACGAAGGGCACTAATGAAAGGGCAATATATATTAGAAAACATACGGCAACAAAAGAGCAGTAATAGAAGAGGTGCATAATGAAAGAACATTAATAGAAGACGTACAATAATTAAAGGACAGTAACAAAAGACTATAATGAGAGGAAAATAAATCAAGAAGTTGTACTATAAGTAAGGGCAGTAAGTAATAGAAGACTACAATGAAAGGGCAATAATAATGCATGTTTCGAAAAAGTATGATAATAATAATAATAATAGTAATAATAGTATTAATAGTAATAGTAATAATAATAATAATAAACAAAATCGTTTAAGACATACTCCCTCCGTTCTTTATTATCTGTCCCGCTAGCCTTGGGCACGGGTTTTAATAGAAAAATAGTAGGGTAAATGTAGAGTGTGTATGATAAATGATAAAGTAGGAAAGAGGGTATATTAAAAAGAGTAAAGTGGTGATAAAGTGATGATAAAATAAGAAAGAGAGTATATTAAGTAGAGTAAAGTTATGATAAAGTAGGAAAGAGAAAGTAGTTTGTAAAAAGTAAGAGGGGTAAAAGTAAAAAAAGTGGGGGTATTTTATCAAAAACATTCCTAAAATAGAAAAAGAGACAAATAATAAAAAACGTCCCAAAATGGAATGCGAGACAGATAATAAAGAACGGAGGGAGTATCACATATGTAAGTCTATTTATTAAGGGTCTGTTTGCAACAACTTCTGCTTTTTAAAAAGTGCTTTTTTTAATGAAATGGGGAGAATTGATTAAATAAAAGTTGATAGTGTTTGAGAAAAAAGTGATTTTGAAAAGTAAAAGTGGGTAGTGTTTGGTAAAATAAATGTTTTTTGTGTAATAGAAAAGGTAAAAGCACTTTTGACGCGGAAGCCGAGAAAAATAAAAGTTGTAATGTTTGGGAAAATAAGTGCTTTTTTAAAGTCAAAAGCTCAAAATGCTTTTTTTAAAACAGTTGCAAATCACACCTAAGTATTTAAGTCTATGTTTTTAGGAAAAATATTTAACATGGATGTGCAAACGGGGTCATCCATATCATTTGCTATAAATCAGGACAAAAAGTTTCCACTATTAATTGTAATAGGAAAAAAAACATAGCTAAGTCGACATCAGTTTCCAGTCGCCGTTGCCACCGCCCGGATAATGAGTAACCGGGAAGTCCACTTGAGGCTCTGCAGCCTAATCCGCGATTCACTGTGTCCATATGCTGTAAGTTCGACGGCAAACGCTGTTTTCTTCCCGCCATTCTTGCGCACACTTTTTTTTCTTCAGAGTTTCACTCTCTAACTGGCTTTTAGGAGCTTTTGCCTACTTCCTTTACCAAAGAAAATGTGAAGGACCTGTTGATCGCCCTCTCTCGAGTTTGCTCACAAATCAAGCTGTGGAAGTTGGATTTCCCATCCGATTCTGACTCCGACTCAGTCTGTATTCTCTTCTCTCGTATTGTCCCTTTAAATTGGATTAGTTTTTTGAATTATGTTGTCTATTCAACGCTATGTTCCCGACTTTGTCAGCAGGATGTTGCCGGAGGTTCTCCTGGCGTTATGGATTGTAGTGTTATCCACCGCTCGGATACTGAGATCCATCCCTGTTTATCTAAGGCCATCAGCGTCTTGGTAAGTATTTTAACTTGAAAGTTTACCCAAGCAATCTATCATTAGATGCATTTGTCATTTGTGCAACTCTGGAGCCTAAACTGTTTGGTTTTTGTACTGCCACTTTCTCATTTTGAATTCATATTCATCTTTAATCATTTTATATATTATTCACAGATGGAGTTGCTGGATATTGAAAATTCATACGTACAACACTTAGTGGGTAACATTTTGGTGGAAACTTCTAATTTCTTAGTTGCATCTGTATGTGACGATATTCTACGTACCAATTAAATTCTCTGCATTTGCTATTCTTCATCTACTTAGTTACTTTTTTTTTTTTTTTTTTTTTTTACTTTTAGGGAAGTAGCTGGTTTGAACTTAAGCAGTTATTTTCTCTCTTGGATATGTCAATTTTTAGTTCTACTTCATCTTCTACTGGATGTATAATGGTGGAGGTAAATCCATCAACCTCTGTTTCACCCGTTAAACTCCACCATAAAAGTAACAATTGGGTATCAATAGCTGTCATCACTCAAGTTTTAAGAAGGATAGTGAAGAATGCAAAACGAGACGCTGATGATCACATTTTGAAGTTGTGCTTCGAGGCCACAAACTCTTTAATATCAAATGTGCCATGGGATTTGTTGCATGAGATTTTTGTCAGTCAAACGAACAAGTCTTTGGGAGACCTCAATGCTGATGGTTTGTTTCAATGCCAAGATGCAAAACCAAAACCAGCAATTTTGTTTCTTGGAAGTTTCATTCAGTTGTTGTGTTCATTGGCCGAGATGATAAGCCTGCCGCTAGAAGCCATTACTGATGATTTGCATAAGCACACAGTTATTAGTGAGATCAGAAGCATCCTTCCTAGGCTCCTAGGTTTGTGCCATGGGAATTTTCAGAACTTTGGAAGTGTTTATATCTCTAAATATTACAAGCACAAGTTTCTGGTATGATATGTTTCGAACTAATCTAAGGGCTGCTTTTGGAATTCAAGAAGCAATAGGCAAAGGGGGGTAAGTACTATGGAAAATGTTTTTCCTTAGCATCTAGGTTTGCGTCTGAAAATAGATGGAAACCAATTTTATAATAAACCTTTTAAGATTCCATACATATGGAGATTTCTTATTTTTCTATAAAGTAAAAATAAAAACAAATATCTAAACTTCATTTATCAAGTTTTAAGCAACCATTTATTCCCCCCATGTTTTCTTACCTCCTGAATTTCTTCCCTATCATGTCTGAGTTCCAAATGGACCAATAATGAATATTAACTTTTTCCTGTATAACGAAGCACACATATGTGAATCTTTCTACCAACACAACCCAATCAAAATGTTAACATGCAGATACTAATGATCAGGCTCAGTTCTGGAGTCCAGTTGGATGGTTCTGTTCTTCATTCATGGCTGAATCTCATCCACCTTTACTTTCAAGACATCTTATGCCTACCAATAGCTGGAGTGGAGTCTGATCTAGATAAATGTCTTGAGGGCTCACCATTTTGGGAAAATACTTATGATGCAGAAAAAGAGAACATGACATCCAGACATTTGCAAAGGCTGGCTATTTTTCTTTTTCTAAGATGTTCCTTTTGCATGGTCAATATGGAGAGAAGTGGACAAAACCGTGCATTTATTGACCACGATTGTCACTCTGCTGTTAATCTGAAATCAGATTTAAGCAAAGGTTTGAAAGAGATCCATGAGTGGCTCCAACTTGTTTCTAATGATGATGCTTTTTTGCACCACAAGAAATGTGCTGAATGTATTTTAAGCTTTCAGTTGTGCTTCCTTCAGCTTTATATGCATGAGGTTGTTTTTGCGCCCACGAGTTCTTTTCAGTCTTTAGATTCTTCATGTTTGTTTATTTGGATATCTAAAACATTTTTTTCCATTTAGGTGCTGGGTTATATTGATTTATGTTTTCCTGTAGGATGATATTCTGTTTCAGATGCTCCTGCAACTGCTTTGTATTTCCCCACTCTCTGAGGAATGGTGAGGTTGCGCACATTTGTTTTTTCATATTGGTATAGTGCCAATTGAGTGGTCAACCTGAATATTTTCTTCCTGTGCGTAGGTTTGTTAAAGAAGGAATGCCATCAGCAGATGTTAAAATGGCTTCCATTGTTTCAGACCTTTTTAACCCTATATGTGTATTTCACCATTTTCTAGCAGAGGTATGTGTCCTAGATCATTGCTTTTGTCGAGGTATTGAACTATCAGTCACGCTTGGTCTAAACAATATTACAACAAATTTCTAGATGTTTTTTTGTTTATAGTGACAAGTTTTTTGTCTGTGTTTTTTGTCAGTTAAAATTTGTTCACACTATTTTGTATCTTTTCGCAAAACATTGTTTTTAGTTCTGAGTTTCTGACACACATACAACCACCCTGACAAAATGTTGTCGGTGTGAAATTGTGAACCAAGAAAACTTGTAGAAATTGGTTGTACAATTAGCGTTTCTCATCAAACAGATTTACAGGCATTCTAATATATGCTTATGTTGTTATCACATATGAGCTTGTTGCACATCTAACAGATTAGCTATGATCATCAAGTTCTTCTGGATTATCTTATCTCAAAAGATACAGGAGCCAGTTCTGCTGAATATCTCTTAAGGCATGTGATGATCTGTATTGCTCTTTAAAAAAAGATGGTAAAGGATTTGCGAGTAAGAAATTTGGAACTACAGCACACCATTTGAACAAGTCCAAAAATCACATTCTTGAACCATGTTGTTCTTATCCAGCCATAGATATACTATTTTAGTGTTTGGCATGTCTCTTATGCTGTAAGTGCTTTTATAAACTTGGCTTATCATTTAAGCAAGAAAAGTGTTTTTTTTCAAAAGCTGAATTTGAATTTCTTAAAAACTTTGAATCATGAAACTCTCAGGAATGAATACATTTCCGTTTCGAAACTTACGGGAAAGAGTACATTTCAATTTCAGAACCTCCAAGGAAACTCTTTAAAAACTCTCTAAACTCTTGTATTACTCTTTCCATCATTTGAAATGGAGCCAAAGACTCACTATTTTTTGGATTGAGAATATGATGAAATAAAGCGAAATGGCTCACTAAACTGTCTGCGCTTCTTTGTTATGAAGCAACAATCAGTCCATGTAGTTTTTTACGCGATTTTCACTACGGCTCATCCGGAAACAGTCTCTTTGTGCTTTGTGCTTTAGCACAGGGGTAAGACTGCGTACATCTGACCCCCCCCATGCCCCACTGTAGGTGGGAGCGTTTGCGGCACTGGGGTAATGAATAATGAATGAACAAATAATGAATAAACACATGTATTACTATTAAAAGTTAGGGTTTCCCATTTCACCTTTCCCCATGTCTCCCAGATTTTGTGGAGCATAGCTTAAGCATTGTTTTTTTTAAAGCATTACTTTCAAAGTATAACTACTTACCGTCCTATAAAACACTTATAATTCGAAAATAAGTCACCCTAGAAGATGGTCAACTATAAAGAAAGTATGGATGCTTAATCTCAGAATAAACATTAAGAAATGTAAGAATTCATTTTAGGTTTCAGTTTCCTGTTTATTTATTTATTTTTTGTTTTCCATGGAAAGAAAGAGAAAATAACATCAATTTGTGTACATTTTTTCCACTTGAATTCTTGAAGGTGCTTGCGCATGGTATTTCAGTCTTGGAGCTTATTTCAAACTTTCCCATGGAGCATAAAAAATGAAATTCAATTATGTCAAAAGAGAAGAAAAACATCAGTAGATCGTCCGAGTTTTTCAGGGGAGTTGTCCACATCAGTGAATGATGGGATTTGTTTTCCATTTGAACTAGATCACCAGATGAGAGGAAAACATTATGGTGCTGTTGCTGACAGAACTGAGAGAGTTCCTTTCGAGTGTGCTAGTAGTTGTTTATTGGAACTGAAAGCATCTATTGAAAGCCTTCATCAAAAGAATCTTTTTCCATATAACCCGCAAGTGTTGTTACAGCGGTGTGTTATTTCTTCACTATTTACTTAACATTATATTCTTACCCTTCTTTACCATTCCTTTTTTAACATTATATTCATACCCATTCCATTTGAAAAAAATCATTTTTTTTAAATTAATCCATTTTCATTCTTAGAATATAACACTGTGAAATAAGGATATGTAATAATAGTGGTATTTACTAACCACAAATACTCGTACAAAATCATTTATTTAACAATAGAACATTACCATATAAAAAAACAATAGAACATGGGTGTTTTTCTCTAAACAAGACCATCTACTCCATATGCATTATAACTAAACTCGTAATTATATATTCCTCATAAAAGAAAGCCTAAAAACTGCCACCAAGTGTACCCTTTATTCTAATCACATTTTCTATTTGGTACTCAAGTTATTCGGCCCACTGACCACCTTCGACCACTTACTCTGGCTCACTTACCATCGTCTCTGGCTGCCACTGACCACTTACCACCGGCTCACTGATCACTTCCTCCGATTCACTGACCATTGTTATAAACATCAGAGGCTGTGGTCTTTGGAGCCTGGCAGTAGTGGGACCAGAGGTAGCGGTTAGTGCAGCTGGGGACAATGGTTAGGGATGGCGAAAGTGGTGGTCAATGAGGTGTCAGCATTGTAAATGAGCCAGTGGAGGCGGATCAGAGTGGGAGGCAGCAGGTGGTAACTAGGATGCAGGGGCGGACCGTAGTACAGACCCAGGAGGGCGGTCGCCCCCCAACAACAAAATTTTTTAGTATATATATATAATATAAAATAATTTTCGTCCTCTCAAAAAATATTTTGTTTAAGTTACTGCCCTCCCAAGACAAACTTCTTGGGTCCGCCTCTGCTAGGATGGAAAGAATGGGTCGAAAATGGAAAGTGGGGGGGTGTTTTTGTCTCATTAGTTGCTTTTAAGTCCTGAGCTTCACTGGTCGGCTGGTCCTATTTTCTGAAAAATGGTACTGCCTCCGTCTCTATTTGTTCATGTATTCCTTTCTCGGAAGTATTAAATAAAGCCCTCTTTACTTATTTGGTAAAAAAAAACGGTACCAATTTACTTTACTACCCTCAAATAATCAAAATAGTAGTGTCAAAATAGTATATGGAACAGTAAATCGTACCCTCTACTAAAAGGGTTTTTCTGGAAGCCAAAGAAAAAATCTAATTTCCTTTTAAACTGTATGAAAGTCAAATTAGGAACTTCTTCATGGGATGGGGAGCCATTTTTAGCTCAATTTGTAATCTTCCTTTTCTTTTATGGAGTATCTTCATGTTGACATTAAAATCTCAATTTGAGGATGAATGTAGTTTTACATATTTATTGCAGATTGTCGAGATTTCAGGAGCTCTACCAAAAGCATTAGTCTGACATGATACAACAACCTCTTGAAATTAAAACAATGAGGGTACGATACTAGTGTTTTTCATCTCAAATAGCAGTGGTGGCAGCTGCAGTAGCAGTTATTTCAAGCAAACAAGAGCAAAGCTCCTGTGGTTTTGTGAGCATGACCATATGACCAGCTGCAGGTATGGATTTCACTTCACAAGGGGAAGTGCTGCTGTGTATGTTATGTTTCTGAAAATCTTGGTCCATGAGCTGATCATCTTCGCAGATAACATATACTCTCTTCACTGACCCATATTTATCTTCTGTCACCAAATTTTCTTTTTTCATGTCCTCCACGAAAAGGGCACCAGGCCTTGTTAACATTTTCCCCAGCTCCACCTCCTGCGCATTCAGTCAAACCTGTAACCTCCATTTTTATAATATTTAATCCAAACTAGTTTACAAATGTACTGTCTTCTCTTTTCAAAAAAGAAAAGTTACCTCGAGTTTGCAGCGTGTATAAACTACAGCTTCCATGAAGTTGGGACCAAGAGTGATTGAAGTTGGCGGATTTTCCAGTCCTCCATCGAATGTTACTTGACAATCCATTAGAGATTTATGTGCGAGCCTTCTAAAATACTGAAGAATAAGAAACAATTATAGTTACTACCTTTAGCCTTGTTTGGATTGATTTCCGTTTCTCGAAATCCCTTCATGCTTGGGAATGTAGAGAGATGACTATGTTTGGATTAAGAAAATTCAAGATTTAGAAAATTCTGGTTTTCTTACTCCTTGAAATTAGATGCATTATGGAGTAATACATATTGCCATATTGGTCTGAATGGTTATTAAAATTTAGTTCCTTCTATGACATATAAAGAAATACGGAGTAATGCTCTTATGTAACAGCATGATTGGTATGCTGGAAACCTGGAATGTATGTTTGTCTGCAATTCTGCAAAGTAGAAATGTTCCCAGATTTGGGTTAGATCTTTGTTAAATCTACAAAGAAGAAAATTTCGATAACACGGTTTTCCCCTCACACACCTTATGAATAATATTGGGTTATGCTCAGGGGTGGACCGGTTCCGGTTCGGGCCCGGTTCGGGCCTGGGCCCGGCCGGGCCTCGGTTCAGAAAAAGGAGGCCCGAGCCCGAACCGGTGGTGGGCGGTTCCGGTTCCGGTTCCGGGCCAGAACCGGGCCGGGCCACCCGGAATGTTTTTTTTTTTCTTCTTCTTCTCTTATTTAACCCCCTACCCCTCCCCCTCCACCCCAAACCACCCCAAACCACCTCAAATGGCCCAAAATACCTAATCCAACCCAAAACTTAAAAAAATTTCAAAAAAAAAAAAAAAAAATTAAATTCCGGCCCGAACCGGGCCCGGCCGGGCCGGTTCACTAAACTGGAGGCCTGGGCCCGGACCGGTATACCACCGGGCCGGGAGGCCCGAACCGGAACCGAACCGGTTCACCGGGCCGGTCCGGGCCCGCACAGTAGCGGGCCGGTCCGGTTCCGGGCCGGTTGGCCCGGCCCGAGTCCATCCCTAGTTATGCTCAGAGCAATAAAAGGGGATAATACTCCGTGCATATAATTAATAAAGGTGGACATTATACTCCGTATATTAATAGGGAGTCGTTAAAATGTGGATAACATTAATTGAGTAGTAATAAATTAATAATCATACCATTATTTATATTCGCTTGCTTTATGTACACTAACTTGTACGGAGTAGAATGTTTATCAACACCATGCAGGCATGCGCGCGTAGAGAAAAAATCATTCTCTCAGACAATGATTTTGTCTGAAGCACAAACAAATATTGTCTGATTGGTCGGTGGTGGACGGGTGGTGTAGACAAAAAATCAATTTCCCATGAATATTACATTCCAATTTCCATGCCGTTTAGCAGCTACCGATGATTGTGCTTGTATAGTATTCTTGTAACATGGTATCGGATAAGTAATTTACATGTTGGTACGAATGGTACGATTATCTCAAATCTCAACTGGTCCTCACTACCATGGATATTCTTTACTTTCATGCTTAACTCACCGTTAGGTTATTAAGAGGCCTTAAACGTTTTGGACTAGGTAAATGCCTGCTTAGTAAGTAGTTGCACCCCTTTAATCGGTGATTATGAAATGCACCCCCATGTTTTATTTAATCGGTGATTTAAGCGTTTCTTTATTGACAATTTTGCCCATATTTCATAGGCTTAAATTGTTTTAATTGCATGAATGCGCTAGCAGCCCTTCTTCAACCTTTTCGTCTCACGACATCCCATTTTCTGCCAACTTCTTTCTCTTCCAAATGGACATAGGCGGAACTCTTCCATGTCACAATCGACACCTCAGGTGGAAATAACCTTTATTAGGTATATTGTGTGAGATAGATTTTCGAAATTGTTGTGTAAAAGTATAAACCTTATCTGCGATAACCTTACTATTCGTATACTATTTCGAAATCGTATTGTTATTTCTGGAGAAGTACGAAAACTGTTGTTAGCAACAACTTGTTCTTCAATGACTTTTATCAAATACAAAGTAAACTTTAGTGGGGTAATTGGACTTGATATTGGCGCAAGGGAGAAGTAACGAAAATTGTTGTTAGCAACAACTTGTTCTTCAATGACTTTTATCAAATACAAAGTAAACTTTAGTGGGGTAATTGGACTTGATATTGGCGCAAGGGAGAAGATAAGCGGACGAACCAGAGAAGTGACGAACCAGGGTTAAGGAAGAAAGAAAAAGGAAAAGAAAAGCAAAGGAAAGAAAGAAAAAGACAAAAGAAAAAATTACACATGTGTCACCACATGTCATCAGGTGTCGTCACCTGTCATCACCTGTCGCCACTAGTGTAAATTTATGTAGTGACTGGTTGGAAACCTGATAAAAATCTATTTTGAATGTTTTTTTCATAGTTCAGGTGTTTAATTGAGTGTTTTTTTAAGTTCAGGAGCTCAATTGACATTTTCTGTATAGTAAGGGGCTTATTTGACACTTTTCTCTTGTTTTTATAATTTTTCCCTAAAGCTTCAACCAGATGCCAGAGCACGAATCGACCTTAGAACGTATTCGGAGAATCGGAGTTGGAACTTGTTGTCTATTAAAATTGAGAAATAAAAATTTAAAATTTCAATGAATTTGGACCCGGCGTTTCATTGAATTTGGCCGACTTGCGAGGTACGGACTACGGAGTAAGTATGTTCGCCGATGGAGAAGAGAAACATTTTGCTTGCTTCTATTGAGATAGAACGATCAAAGAAGCTGGGTACGACTAGTGGCGGATCCAGAAAGGAAACTTGTTGGGGGCAGAATAGTTAAGTAACACATCAAAAGAACAAAATTAATAAAATATTACTCCATATTTTATTATTACATACAATCACTACGAAAAATTATGGGATTGACATGAATTTGGCATGAATTGATCGATGATTTTGTACTAAAAAATAGCTCATGACAAAATGTTTTTGACACGTATTAGGCGTATGAGCGTATCTGTGCCAATTCCACTATGAATTTCGACAAGTTCATGTCAATTTCGTTATTTTTTTTGTAGTGAATAACAAAAGCTTTTGTAAAACACGTCACAATTCTACGCATTTATTTCCATTTTTAAATTGTATCTGGAATAGACTTCAATCTAAAATTACATTTTTAAATTCGATAGTAAAAAGTTATAACATTAATACATTTTATTTCTATCTAATGGCCTAATACGGCATTTCACGTACTATTTACAATTTGGATTTTTAATAGATGTAAAACATTACACTTTAATTAGTTTAGGAAGTGTTTGGGATTGATTATGTGTCTGCTTATTTTTTAAAAGCAGAAGGATGAAATAGTAGGAGTAATGAATAGTGTGAAAAATACTACGTATGAAAGTGAAGATAAAAGTAGAAAAAGTAAGGATAATTGACTATTTAAAAAAACAAACTTACCAAAAAAAGAAAGTGTAGTAAACTCTTAAATACATCCAAAAACGGAAATTATGTCAAACTTTAAAATACAGAGGAATAGATCAAGATGTATACTACTCCGCATTACAATAAGTCATCAATTAAATTAAGCTAAATAAATAGATGTACATCAATAATCTTATAAAAAGAAAACATTATAAAACACATACAAAGCTTATATGGAGTATACAAATTAATACTCCCCATACGTAGAGAGGACTACGGGCACTTCCTACGTACAGGCAGCGGTCACTCCTAACATTGGGCCATTAAACTTATAATTGCCTCTGTTCAATTGGTCAGCTACTCCCAGTCTTCCATACTCGAATTCATTCCAAACTTTGGAACCTCAAGTGAGTTTGGTCCCAATTGGTTGATTGTGAAATCTGAATTTCAGATTTACCCACTTTTGGGCTTTAGGCTGGGTCGGACAACTCAGTTATAGGAGGCAGCCAAGTTTATTTATTGGGGGCAAATACATATACTTCCAATATTTACTAGCAAATCATAGGGTCTAGTGGATCCGCCCCTGGGTACGACTAGTCCTAAGGTTATTCTTGACATTTTGTATATAACCCACCTTTTAAGCCCAATGAAGTAAACCTAAGTTAGGTTAATTAAGCCCAAATTCATGACAAAGTAAACATGTTCTTAATAAGCAATGGCTTACTATCCCATGTCTCAATAAGCATTGTTTATTAAACAACAAAGTAAACATGTCCCAATGGTTAGACTCAATGGTTAGACACTACACGAGCACACTCCATGTTTCCAATTTTTTTTAACATCATAACAGATCTTACAACATTTCATTTACAGACATGTTTGAGATTGATCTATATAGATTTAGTTTCATTCACTTTATAAGTCAATAAATTTAATAATAATTATGATTAATATACACATGCAAAGATTGTTTAATTTATACCATTTTATTTGATTATAAGTTTGAGTGTGATGCAATAATAATATAAATAATAATTTAGTCATTTATACTGCAAACAATAAATTTGCACCACTTTGATAGTGATATGTTGGTTAAAAAGTGTAACCTCATGTAAATCCCCTCCACTATTTGGTATATATTAGGGAAATTTCCATTAAAAATAAGGTAAAATTTGAACATAGAGTACAATGTTTTACCTGAAATAAGCATAAATTACTGTCACCAAGTAGTAATATACTCCGTACGTCATTACTGATTGGATTTTCTCATCACGGAAGTAATTACTCTTTTAGAGAAAAACACAGTGCTCATCATATTCTCAAATTTCACGTCGTTTTTTCTCCTATTTACAACAATTTTTAATTTGCTACTCCTACTTGACTACCATGATACTTGCAAGTTGCAACGAACTCGTGTTCAGGCCATCTCCAAGAGACCACCAAATCACACACCATTTTGGTGTATTTGCCAAAAATCCTCTCCAACAATCACACCATTCTCCACACCATCACACCATTTTGGTGGAGAGGAGATGGTTTCACGCCATATATGGCGTACACCATTCTCAACACCATCCACCTTTTTTAATTTATCTTCCTTTTAAATGTGACCTTCAACTTTTAATTATTATAGTTTTGACCCATTTTTAAAACAACAAATTAGGATGTTTTACTTGGACTGAAATTGGTTTGTCCGCTCTGGTCTGGTCTGGTCTGGTCTGGTCTGATTTGATCTGGTCTGATCTGAAATGATGTGGTCTGGTTTGATTTCTTTGTATTTTTATAACTACCCAAGTGTGGTCTAATCAGGTCTGATCTGATCCCGAGAAAAATTACAGTCCAAGTAAAAACATCCTTATAGAACAACAATTTAAAATTATTAATTTGATATAAAAAAATATAATAAAATTTAAATCACACAATATTATAAATAAAGTTTCAAATCCAAACAACATTATAACAGAATACAAATGGTACTTAAAGAAATAGCATAATTAAAATTACAATTAATAACCTCATTACAATTAAAATTAAAACATAATTAAAACATACATGGCACATAGAAATTTAGAAATTAGTAATCATTCAAACCGCTTCCAGACCCTCCGAGACCATCAAACAGATTCCCAAATCCAGCTGATGACCCTCCTTCTTGAGATTTTTTTTGTAAAATTCTCGTTCTTTCTGCAATGATATATGCTCGCGTTTGTGGATCGTGAATAGAATTCAAATCCATGAAGTGGCAGTTGATGAGGCGGCACGGTTCACTCAATTTCTTAGCCGCCATAACCAAATACACGACAAAGACGCTCATATTGAGCTCCGCAATGCTTTAATTGATCATTTGTGGGAACAATTCTCAAATTCCGATAACTAAACTAAGAATGTTTATTTAATCTATAGCTTTAAGTTTAAGTAGTACTTTATTAAATTATTAATGACGTATTAATTATTATAATATTATTGTAATATTTAATTTTATGTGGTTTTAGCTTGTATTTGTGAAATATTGATTATTGTATTTTAATTAGTGAGATGCGTGAAAATACATATTAACATGATGTATTTTAATTTGTATGTGTGAAATAATGTGTGAAATGTCAAAATATTAAATGAGGGGCTAATATATAAATATATGATAGTTAGATACTTAAATAGAAGAATGGAGAAAAGTTAGTAAAAAGAATAAAAAGAGAATATTCCTTTTTGGTGATGGAAATGGTGTAAACTGTTGGAGATAAAATACTGTTTGATGTGATGTTTACACCATTTTGGTGTAAAAAATGGTGTTAACTGTTGGAGATGGCCTCAGTAATAAATACTACCTCCGTCCCATATTGATTGTCCACTTTCAATTTGGCACGATTATTAATAAAGTGGTTGAAAAAGTAAAAGTTGTGGTTGAGATTTGAGTAGAATAAAGTGAAATGATAAGGACCACATATTTCTTGCCAAAAAAGGAAACAAGACATTCATTTTGGAATAACCCAAAAGGAAAAGTAGGACAACCAAAATGGGACGGAGGGAGTATCAAGTTTTCCAAATTTCAATCTCAATTATAATCCTCTATTCTTTTCCGCAAACCAAATAACCCATAAAAGAAGAAGGGGTCACCTCTTGAATAAGAGTGGCTGGAGGGGTGTTGGAATTAGGCATGTAAGCAGATACGAAAACTGAAACTAAGACCTTGTTTGGGAAACTCTGCATGGCAAGAGCAATCGCCAGTCCACCATAGCTATGACCAATCAATACCACCTTCTCATCAGCCGGAAGCCGGCCCAGAAAGTCAATCAACGGCTGAACATAGTCTGTCGCCGTCCTAATCTCTTCGAGTTGCTTTGGATGGACACCGGACGCGGCAAGATCCACCGCCGATACCCGGTGGCCGTGAAATCTGAGTATGGGTATGAGCTTATACCAGCACCAAGCTCCATGGCAGATCCCATGAACTAGAACAAAGTGGTGTCCCTTATTATTGCCCTCCATTTTTTTATGTTTATTATTGCTCAAGGTTACCAAGAACATCAGAATTTATAATCCATCTCACAATTTTTGTCTTCTATAGTTGTACTCTATTTACGGAGTGATTCTAGCCCAGTAATCTATTTACGGAGTGATTCTAGTCCAATAATTGTCAATCGTCTGGCCCCATTTTTGCTCACTATCTGTTCATGCACATGTGATTGATGTTTGGCTGCCAAAAAGTATTGAGAAGGCCGACAGAAAATATGAGAGTTTTTTTCTGTATTAATGTTAATTAATTAATTAATTACGGAAATAATGCTGGAAAAAAAGTATTTACCAAAATACTGCTGGCCGTAACCATGGTCAGGGGAAAGTCGTCCAACGGTTGGGCGACTTATAAGTCGCCCAACGGTTGGGCGACTTATAAGTCGCCAAACCGTTTGGCGACTTATAAGTCGCCCAACCGTTGGGCGACTTTCCCCTGAAATATGGTTTGAGGCGAGCAGCTACTGCCAGCCACGCACGATCGTGCCTACAAGGGAAGGCACGATCGTGCCTATTTCCGAAAACACCAATTCAGCTTGTTTTTCGCCCCGATTCAATCCAGACCGATCTGTTTGCTACAAATAAGGTCTCCCTTCTCCTTTTGAAGTGTTACACACTAGATACAACACATGATAATCACCTACTCTCAACAACATAAAAAACACCTTATAAACACCGCTAAAAAACTTTCAAATCATAACCGGTATAACACAGTTCAATCATCATATATGCCATAACAAATAATCATCTAATATTCATACTCGAACACATCAATACAACATAGAATACTTAACAAGAGAAAATACATCAAAACTTGTAAATTGTTCCTACAACATCTACTGCATAAGAAAAACTACAATACAAAAGACAAACTACAAGTTCCCATCATCAGCTTCGTCATGGAGATGTTGCTGCTCATGTCTACGCCGACGGCGTTGTCGTGGTTGAAGAACCACTCTCTCATGTTGCGTCTAGGATGATGAAGCCGCGGCTGCACTAGACGTGGATGCCATCTCCTGAGATGCGGGCATGTGTATAAGATGTCCGTAGTCTACTCGACCCAACACATCTGAGCATAACGAGGCAATGCCTGTCAGAGTCTGTCCATACATGTCCACATCAGGAATATCAGTCACAGTGGCAGTAGCCCGCTGATGTATGCGCTGCAAAGCTCGTGTCTGCAATACGAAACACAATTACAATTACATTGAAATACATACAAGTATTACATAAATAAAAGGACTTACTTTACTAATTAGTAATATACTCACCGTAAGATGCAATGCCAATGAGCTAGGCTGATAATGATGAGTAGGGAGTCTGAACGAAGGAGACACAAACAACCGAGTGATGCTGTAGTACCATCCCATGTAATCTCCCGAAACTGATGGCACATATGTGGGTGTCCCAGCCACAGCTAGCTCAGCTCTCCTATCCCACATAGTCACGTATCGGACATGTCTGAGTGCCCAATCCTCTGTATGTTTCCCACGCCTATCCAGCTTATGCAGCTCTACATAAGTGTCGATAGGACGTGGAATGACCTGCTCAAACCCAAACTGTCGCATGACTCTATCAGGCAAATGAAGCTCAACAATGTCAAAACATATCAGCGGCACACGTGCTCGCCATATGTGAGTCTGCTCTCGTCCAGCTGGGGGCAACTCTGCTAACATATCAGGTCTAAACGGCATCCATGTGATCTGTTTCGTAAACATACAAAATTAGTATTTATTCTACACCTATTCTAGTTACTGTTATAATACACACACCATACCTGGTCCTCTGACATTCGATCCAATGCATCCCTGTACACACCGAGGCCAGTAGCGGATGACATGCGAGATAAACCAGCATATAGCCACCTAACCATTCATGTTACAATATCAATAATATGGATTTTATTAATGCATTTACATTCAACAAAAACTAACACAAATACAAACGATTGAAAACATACCGACGGCCAAGAGGGTCCACGCCCCGTACATGATGTGGTCCTAGCAGACGTGGAGGCTCATCAGGCAGTGGCTGTCCATCAATGCCATGATATCCAACTATAATGGGACGGCCTATGTGGATATACTCCCATGACCAAATCTGGAGGAGTAGCAAAAATCCCCCCAGCTCTGTGCTCCCTCTCTGGCACCCGCGACACAGCTGCCTGTAGAGATAAGCCAGGGTGGCACTACCCCAGCTAAACTGTGCTGCTACATCAAACCTCTCCAGCAAAGGCAAGTGTAGCACCTGAACCTCATTTCCGCTCTTGTCAGCGAAAATGGAGGCTCCCATCATCATCAATATATACGCACGAGCATGCTGCTGGATGATCATCTCATCAGCGTCGGGAGGAAGGGCCTGGAAGTGCTCCCTCAACCATGGCATCCTAAGAGATGACCCCTGAAGGTCAGCCTAAGAACGGGGCGGATGCCTAACAACCTCTCACACTCATCAACCCACTGTCGACAAGCAATGCCCGTAACAGCTCTCCCATCAACCTCTAACCCGGTAAGTACAGCCACATCTCCCAATGTCACAGTGACCTCACCAACAGGGAGGTGAAATGAATGTGTCTCCTGCCTCCAACGCTCAAGTAGAGCAGTGAGGAGGGCTCTATCTAAAGGCACAGTAGCCACTAACCTGTGCAGTGTAAAAAAACCTGCAGCACGAACATAGGCTAGGACTCTGGGGTCGACATGTAAATGGGACAAACCCCGCAGATGTTCGCGGCACCTATCAACCTGCACATCCATGCCAAGCCAAACATCCTTACTCCTGTGTGAGGCCTGCAGTGTGAGGACAGAACGATCACTCGGCCCAGGATCCGCTATCACTTCCATGCCTACAAACAAAATTTGTATTAGTTCTAATTGTATTAGTTGTAATTGTATAATGTATTAATTTTTTTTTAACTTCCTTTTTTGAATTTATTAATTATCCTTGCAAGGAAATCATGAATTATGATTGACTCTAAATATACACATACCCGGCGGACCCCCCTCTTGTCTAGATGATCTCTTTGCACATGTCGCTCTATTATGGCCGGTTTGGTGGCATCTTCCACATCTAACCGTTCCTCGTGGTCCTTCATCCATCTCATTCTTAATACGGGTCGACTTTGGTCTTCCCTTTGCCCGAAGCATGGATGGATCGTGGACGATTTCGGGTCCATTGTAATTGGGCCAATAATCACGATCAGGAATCGGTTTGAACACCCTATGATACGTGGCGGCGTATTGGTCAGAAGAGATGAACTTATCCACAAATGGAGCATAAGACAAACTACGTTGTCTACACACGGCTAATACATGGGAGCATGGAATCTTGTATATCTCCATCTTTTTGCAAGTGCACGTTTTCCGTTGTAGATGGACAGTTTGTTTTGTCCCACCCTTTCCCAACGTTCGGCCACCACAACCGGTCTCCACCTGAAATATACCTCGCCCTAAATCAAATGGAGTGACAATGTGATGCTTTGCCTTCTCTCTATTTTTTTCAATTATATCTGTGATGTATGGTGAGTACTCGTGGCCTTGTGTGAGCCTCAACTTACTGGTTTCACGCCTATTGACAAAGTACGCATTTGTGACACTCCATAAATTTAATACTAATAAAGATACGGAATTTGTTAATTGCATTTGTAGGTATTTTTCATAAATTATGTTTCGGGACGAAACATCTTTTAAGGAGGGTAGAATGTGATACCTCAAAAAAAAATTAAAAAACTAAATAATTTTGTAAGTCTGATAAAATGAAGCAGATAAAATTATAACATTGGTGACATTTTTAGCAAGGTAAAAATGTTTATAACAAGTAATAATTATACATACAAAATAGGACATAAATAAATAAAAGTGCCCTTTTAACAAACTTTGATAATATATGCAACCATTATATTATTGTGACCTTTTGGGACCAAGTAACATAATAAATATTTTATGGGAAGCCTTATAATGCTAGCTAGAATGATTAAGTCCGATTGACTATTCTATAAAGAACATACCCATATGCAAATTGACATGCCCACATGAAGTTGGCCGAACAAACCCATATGCAATGACCATAATAATAGACCTCCAATAACATACGTATCAATAATATACAAGTACATAATGATAATATATCCAAGAATGACATACATCATACTACATACATGGGTACCATAGCTCCGTGCGAGACTAACGACCGGCATACCCACATGCAACGAAGCAATCTTCAGCAACTTGCAAGCTAGAGCTTCGGATCGGGCTTATAAATACACGAGCTGCCTACTAAACATCTCCACACCTCAAGCAACGCCTATGCTTAGTCATACTCTCGTATAGTCATATATATATATATATATATATATATATATATATATATACATATATACTCATCATACTACGCTGCGGCAAATTTATTTACCCAAAAACAAGAGCTTACACGCTTCTAAAAACCCTCCCCATCGTGAGGGGAATCCAACGGAGAAAGAATCGTTGAAAACGGTCGTGAAACGAGGGAGAAAAGCTTCACCGGAGTTCCGCGGGAGCTATTGCCGAACTGGGTCTTCGCATCAGAGGAAGAGAGTTGCCGCCGCCACTGATTGACCGTCTCCATCTTCGAACGACTCCCCTACCGTTGCCCTTTCAACCGTCCGTCGTCTCCAAGGTAAGCCATCCTGTTGACCGTTTTTCAATTGTTTCCGGCGTTTCCTGTGTTCGAACAACGAAGAAGACGGTCTGTTGCATGCTATATTATTATCAAACTCAGGCTAAGTGAATTATTACACTATTGGACTAGTTGTTAAACATTAATATAATACGGAGGGGATGAGAGTAATCCTAGAAATACACCATAACCAGAATAATGAATAATACTCCATAATAAATAATACACCAAGTACTACGTAATATTTTGAGATAGCAATATTGAAAGATGGAATTAAATTGATTAGTTGATAATAATTATTTGGATAAACTTGTCATTTTTTTAGTCGGGGAAACTACATAATAATGGATCAATTAACTTGTTAAAAATAATACACGAATTAAACAATATTTTAAGATATATGACTAT